TGATAGGCATTACGAAGGTCCAGTTTGGTGAAAATAGTGGCTGAATGAAGTTGTTCATAGATAGAGTCGATCAGAGGCAGGGGGTACTTGTTTTTCACAGTAATCTGATTAAGCCCTCTATAGTCAATGCAGGGTCTTAACGTCTTATCTTTCTTAGAGACGAAAAAAAATCCTGCTCCCACAGGGGAAGTAGAGGGACTAATAATAGCGGAATTTAATGACTCTTCTATGTAATTCTTCATAGTCTCTTTTTCTGGGCCTGAAAGGTTAAACAGTCTGCTGGAGGGAAGAGGAGCTCCTGGCAGCAAATCAATGGCACAATCATACGGTCTGTGAGAAGGTAAGGATAGTGCCTGAGATTTACTGAATGCAGATTTTAGATCAAGGTATGCGGACGGAACATTGGATAAATCAGACTCTTCGGGTATCTCCTCCTTCTTCTTACATGAGGAGGAAATAGCTGACCGTAAACAATTATTTAGACAAAAAGAGCTCCATTTTTCTATTATTTTTGTCTCCCAGTTAATCACGGGGTTGTGAGTCTTTAACCAAGGGAAACCCAATATAAGTTGTGAAAAAGGAGAGTCAAAAATGAAGAACCTACCCCACTCGTGGTGATTTCCTGAGGTGATAAAATGAATGTCCTGAGTCAGGTTGTGTATCTGGGTGAGATTTTGTCCGGTGATTCCGGTAACTCTCATCGGGGTTGGTAGGTTCTGGGTAGGTAAGCCTAGCTGGGTTACCAGGTCTCTGCTGATGAGATTTTGTTCCGCTCCGGAATCGATGAGTGCTGCAACCAGAAGTTGACATTGTTTAGAAAAGATAGTCACTGGGAGGGTTAAACGAGGTGCAGGAGAAAGAGAAGAATTTCCCACCAAGATCTCCTGCTTTAATGGTGAGAATGTTTGTTTCCCTGGAGCGGGCAACGAGCGACAAAATGTCCAAGCTTACCACAATACATGCAGGCTCGCGCTCTTCTACGTTCCTGTTTCTCTTCCGGCGTTAGGTGAGTTTGTCCGATCTCCATAGGTTCTATCTCGGCTTCGTTAGGAGTTGAAAAATGACTGGATTCTCTTTGTGTAAAATGAGCCTCAGAAACAGGAGCTGAGCTGGCAGTGTAGTAGCCATAGCTTTTCGGTGTGTGACGCAACCCGGAAACAGGGGTTCTCTGGGAATTGTAGTTCTTCTCACGATTACGTTCTAATCGGCGATTGTCCAGACGAGTGGCCAACCTTATTAGATCGTCCAAACTATAGGGTTCGTCTCGTGCAGCAATTTGATCTTTAATGTAATCAGACAATGAATGAAGAAAGGTACCTTTTAGAGCCAACTCATCCCATTTAGTTTGAGCTGCAGTAATCCGGAACTCGAGGGCATGTTCGGCAACGGACCTTCTGCCTTGCCATAGTGTCAGGAGGCGCTTCACTGCTTCCTCCTGCTGGAGTGGATGATCAAACACAAGTTCAAAATCTTTTAAAAAACAGGCAAAAGTTAGAGTCTCGATAGATCGAGTTGACAGGTGGGCGTTGGCCCATCGAAGAGCATCTCCTTTTAATTGATTTACGATGTACATTATCTTGGAAGCGTCTGAAGCATAAGTTTTAGGAGCTCGATTAAAGGCCAAGCGACACTGCAAAAGAAAACCACCACAGTGATAGGGATCACCAGAAAAAAAATCATAGGGCCTGAAAATTGTCTCACTGGGCTGGTTGTCCATGTCTCTGGTTGTGGCTCGAGGACTGAGGTTCTCTGATGGGACACTTTGGGACGTAGGTAACAGAGTAGAAACTTTTTGAGTTAAAGCAAAAACCATACCTCCCATCTGATTAGATTGGTTGCACTGATTACTTTTCTGTAGTTCCAGGATCTGTTGCAGGGTCGCATCATGGTTGTCGATGCGCTTTGCCTGTGAGGACAATGAGTGTTGGGACTGTTCTCTCTCAGTCATGTTCTGGGTGATTCCTGGCTGGAGCATTCTGTTGTAATGAGGAGTTACCCAAGTGAACAGACTGAGAGGAAAACAGCACCAAACTCAAAACGTAGTTGAAAAAATTTATTTACAGTGAGATGAAAATAAACTATTTACAAAAACAGGATCTGGGTCTGTGAAGACAGAGGAGGAGGATTACTTATTGACGAGGAGATGATCCAATAACTGAATACTCAGGTCTTTGAGGAGCTTACAATGAAAGTAGTTTGTATGGCTGTTAGACAGGCTGAGGGGTTTTCTCCTTCCAGGATGATGACCAGGTGGACTGCAGAGGCAAGTGGTGGAAGGCGTGTGCAGGCAGCTGAGCACCAGGAACACAGGTAAGTATATCCTCAGGGACCTCTTCAATATTTCGAAAAACAGGACAGGATCCAGGACGTCAAGACTCTGAAAACGTGGACACAAAACAAGGTAAGTCTTCTCAATCTTTGAACACTATACAGGGCTGGAGGCATATCTACTGGCAGGTAGAACAATGCTCCAGCACTGACTGGAGCGCCACTGGAGCCTTAAGTACTCCTGGCATCAATTAGGGAAACTGGTCTCAGCTGCGGCTGCTCATAAGCGCCGCACCTGCCTTCAGGAACCTGGTGGAAGGAAAATATCAAAACCCTACACTAGGTTCAATGGGACTAGCCTGTATAAATAAAGGTTGAATGAATGAATTAATAATGTCAGTTAAATGGTGAGACAGACAGACAGACAGACAGCCATACAGACAGACAGACAGACAGACAGACAGATAGATGCTTTATTAATCCAAGGGGGAAATTTGAGGTATCCAATAGTATATTTCCATCTGAATGGTAAATGGACTGTACTTATATAGTGCCTTTCTATCTTATTTCAAGATACTCAAAGCGCGTTACACTACAATCTGTGTCCTCATTTACCCATTCATACAGCACTCTACTAGTGTTCTACATGCATCAGGATAGCACTCTACTAGATTTCTACAAAGCTAATTGAACAAATCATTCTAAAGAGACTAATCAGTGCTTTATCACATTCATACACTGATGGGACACACATCAGAGGCTATGAGGGGTTCAGTGTCTTGCCCAGGGACACTTCGACATTTGACTGCTGGTGGATTGAAACCCCCAACTCTCGCATTGGAGGATGACTGCTCAAACCACTCAGCCACAGCCGCCCCAACACACTTGGTGTGGAAAAGTTTTCTCAGAGTCAGCCTCATTATGAAGCACCACCTTCATGGTAAAGGACTGACTGCTTCTGGCAGGTGGGTTTTTTCTCTCTTAATTTCCAGCTGATGACAGATAAAGATGGCTTCCCATTCAGACCCTTCACCTCCTCTGAAACTCAGTCATTCCTGCTGACAGGAGGGTCACTGGTGGTATCTTTGCGGCATAAGTCATGGCGAGAGAAACTGATAGAGGTAGTCCAAAAAAGTTTAATCTGGTCCTCTGGACATTCAAAAAAACAAAAAACAAAACAAAGCAAAAAAAATGTAGAAACGTTTTGTCTCTCATCCGAGAGACTTTCTCAGTCTGAGGTGCTGTATTCAGCTCAGTCTCTTAAATTGCACCTTCTCAGATTGGATTAACCAGTTTGCTGCTGACAACCAAACCAGCTGCTCACATGGTCAAGAAGGACCATCAGGACCACCATGATAGAGGTAGTGCTTAAATTTGGGGTGCGGGGTTCAATTATTTGCCAACACACACATAAAAAGCTTTTAATACTCTAATTTCTGATGTCAAATAAGAAATATCCTTAAATCCTATTAAATTAATAGCTAACATTTTCTGCCCATATTGGTCTGTTTGTTCCATATTTTTGTGTTTACATGAGTAAAATCTGAACTTCAGCTGCCTAATTTCAACTTTTTATTCATTTTAGTTACTTTTGGTAAATGTCCTCATCTTTCTTTGATTGAATGTTGATGTTTTTAATGATGTCAGAAATGTCAGATCAGAAGATGAGGAGGAAGTTGTTATTCTTCTGATACTGCACAGATGTAGAGAAACACGTGCAGCAAAGTGGGTTTGAATGAAACCTCTATTTAAAAATGTCATTTTTCCCCCCTAAATTGATCTCTGCTGCACGTGAGTCAGGCGTAATGATATCCAGGGCTGTCCAGTTGCCACTAAAAGCTCTGTTTCAGTGTTTCGTTTTTACAAAGTACCTTTGACCTTTTGTTCCCTGTAAAATGGATTTTAAAAGTTGATGTTTTAACCGGTTCAGTTTGTGGATCCACTCAGGGGGTAATGCATCAGTTTATGTCTAACATTTATGTATCCTATTCTTGCTTTCATTTTATTTTTGTACCATAAATATCCATGAACTATCTTGTTTGTGGGTTTCTCCAAACTCAGACCTCACTTGTTGGCTTCATATCTTCTCCTCAGGTCAGATCTGTTAACCAAGTCCTCCTTTTTGTTCAGGTCTGTCTTCAGGCAGGACTTGCTTGTGTCACCATGATGCTTAATATGCGTCCATCTGGCTGCATGGACAGCTGTTAGTTCTGGGTGGTTTTGGCTGGTGCTGTGCGGTCCAGGGTCAAACTCCATGTCACATTGTTTTGACCAACTGTACCTCTGTGGTAGCCTGTTTACAGCCAGGGCGGCCAGCCTGAGAGTGTGCTAATTGCATGGTTGTGGTCAAAGTGAGACAGTGGTGTACATTGCAGTGAAATGGTTGGAAGGAAGGGTTTGTGTGCAGCTGTAACCTGTGATCATGGGGACCTATAAATGGGCACATCTCTCTTTAAATGGACAACATAAATTTTCTCAGAACCAACGTGGTGAAAGGTTCCACAGAGTAAGCACTGGTTCTGAGTCAGCAGAAAACAGATGATGAACAGAAAGGTGGTCAGAGATAAGCCTTTCTTTAAATGCACACTTTGTAAGGGGTATTTACTATGTAGAAACAGAACAACGTGGACTTTAAAAGTAACAATGTTACTGTTACTCAAATTGAAATACAGGAGTTTCTCCACTTTTCTACATAATCCTAACTTTTTTCTGTCTTTTTTTTTCTTTTACAGCAGAACCAGCTGACCTCTTGAAGATTTTAGATTTTCACAATTTACCTGAGGGCGTTACAAAAACAACGGGTTTCTGCTCACATCGAAGGTCATCACAAGGACCTGATGTGGCTTACAGAGTATCCAGAGATGCCCAGCTCAGTGCCCCCACAAAACAGCTTTACCCAGGTATGTGTTTGACTCCGCCCACTTTTGCACTTTTACTAATCACAGGTTTCAAATAAGCTTGATACAATTAATAGTTTTCTAAAAGAAGCTTCAGCTTATTCATGACAGACAGTGTGGCCTTTTCAAGACTTTTTAATTCTTGCTATTCAGTTTTATTTTATTTTCATCCCTCTTAGTAAATCTTGAAGCTTCATGTGATTAAGATAGCAATTTAGATTTGCTTAGATTAGTTTAGAGCAATTAACTCACAAAGTGCTGATTTCAGTCTGGATTTGGACCAAAGGACATGTGAATGTGAATCTGGACCCAAACCAGGTTTATTGCATGCCCAGGTACCACATGATGCAGTGAAGAGTGGTGAGGCCTTTATAAGAATGTGTACATGCACAGAGATTGGCTGTGTTAGACGTTTAATGAGACATTGGTGGTCGAAGCAGATGGCTGCTTGTCCTGAGCCTGGTTCTGATGGAGGTTTCTTCCTATCGTGAGGGAGTTTTTCCTTTCCACTGTTGCCTTTGTGCTTGCTCAGGATGGGAGACTGCATCGAAATGAAGACAACACAATCTTCTGGTTTCCTTCCTTAGATAAATAACTTTACTAATTGCATTTATAAAGTATGTGAATGTTTCTGTTCAGTGCCCTGAGATAACCTCTGGTGTGAATTGGCGCTATATAAATAAACTGACTTGAGATGAATTTTCTTATAGATATAGATACATACTCCTGACAAATGAGGATTCAAGTCAATCAGTCTGATAGCATCTGTCATGCTAAGGTTTATTCAGCTTATTGAAGGCATACAGTGCAGCTTTTTCCAACAAGGTTGCATTGTAATTTCACTAAATGAGGGCAAAAGCAACTTTCACCTGTCCTGCATCCTTAAAGTTCACTTTATTTAATATGTTTATTCTTGGACATTTTTTATTGAGACATTAAACCTTAAATTTCAATATTTTAAAGCTCTATTAAACATTGAACTTTACTGTAAAAAGTAAACAACTGAAGTTCACATTCATTCGACCTGCAACAATGCAACAATGTTGCAACAACATGCAACAATGTTGGGCAATCAAACCAAATCCATATATATATATATTTGTTCTTACCTAGAAATTAAATTTGGACCTTTGAAAATAAAGTTTGTGAGCTCCTGGATTGAAGGGTTTGAAACAGAAAGTTTTGTCTTTTTAATCACCTTCCTGTTAACGCCTTTAATTAAACGCACAGTTTTCTTGATTTTGTATAATTTCATGTTTTTTTTCTTTCATTGAAACATTAAACTGTAATAAATACATCTTTATTTTTGAGGAAAAACAAACAAAAACAAATTCCCAGCAGATGGAAGTTATCCAGCTGCAGGAGGGGGTGGACAATGGAAAATCAGTGAAAGCAGAGGCTGCAGAGGGTGGGGGTCCACTTTTGTTGTGTTGTGCTGACGTGGCTTTGAGCTGCTGCTCTGTGAGCTGCAGTATTTTTTCCTCTCTCTTCCCTCTCCAGCCATCTTCTTCTGCTTTTCTTTTCCCCTGAAGCTTTATATTTTCCTCTCAGTCTCATTTTCTTCCCCCTTCTCCTGCTGCCTAAAAGTTTTGTTCCCATGTGTTAGAGACTTGCTGAAGTCCTTTTTCAGTTTCTAGCAGAATAAAACGGCTGCTGTAGTGCAGATCCAGCATAAAACTCTGACACCCTCAGTCCTGGTCCTGTCAGGTACTCCCGTGAATCTTTGATCCATCTTCTGATTATTTCTTTGGGTTTAAAGATGAGCCATGAGGCTTCTGTGGCCTACAAGTCCTTACATGCTCTCCAATCAAACAAATCCACCTCACTTTGATGCTCTCTGACTCCGCAGCTCCATATGGCTCTTTGTTTAAACGCATATTCTGTAATTACACACACATGTGGCTCTGGATCATCCAAAATAACAATCCACATAAAATAAACCAACGGGAGGGCTTCGTAACAGGCATCCCATACTCTTAGGTGCAAACAGACTAACTAGTTGTCTGTGGTCTGAAGAGTTTAAAATACCTTCGTAGTGTTTGTGCTGTGGCCCGTTTCTTGCCTGGATGTTACAGCTAATGCACTCCAGACAGCTGTCTGAGATCATTTTATCCAGGCTTATCTTCCTTTCACTAAGTTTTCCACTCTAATTCCTGTTTGCCCAAGTTATGAGCGCAGCATCCTCCCCGTCTGAAGTTTCAAAGTACAGTCACAGATTCAAACCTGAGGCATGCAAACACACTGCTTTCCTTATTCTGATGTTAGGAATAAATGCCACAGCAGCTTGGATTGAGAACACTCTGGTCCATGACCCAATAACCACAGAAAGACTGCGATGATCTGTTGGAAAAGAACAGGAGCAGACATGCAATCATTAGGCAAACATGTGGAAGAGATGATTCATTAAAAACCACCAAAGCTCAAAACAAACAGGGGACCTTCCTTGCCTTTACTGTTTGAATCATAAAAAGGAAAACTTTCTGCTCTCTTAACTTTGATTCCTCCTCTTGTTGAGACTTTTTGTCCAGATAAATCTGTGACTAAAAGAACAACACCCAACAGCTCCTGCACGTTTTCAGCAATGATTTAGCTGGAACTGTCTGAAAGGCTGGGATCTTCAGAAGGCTTTGATCCTTCTGCATCACACAGATTGTGAACCTTATCATGGTTTGAATGAGACAAAGTGAGTCTAATATCCCAGAAAATATATTTTTGATTAAGAAATACACCCCCTCACCCAAAAATGTCGAGACATTAAGTAAATTGCCGTCTGTTTTAGTTTACAGTTTACACAGCGTTCCATTTCACAGTTATGATTGTACATACCAAACCTGCAGATATATTTAGTTTGTCTCCTACAGTAGTGAGGAAACATGAGACTAGGGTGTGTATTCCATTAAAGGCCCAGCATTCCTTGAAGGAATGCATATCACCTACTGCCTTTCATGCAAAAGTTTTAAACCATAATCAATAACAGATGGATTGGGTCAAACCTTCAAAATACAGCAATGCAAAATTTCACGCTATATCATAAGATTTTATGCAATCAGTTAGTACTTAGAGTTCATGTTGTGGACATCTCTCAGCTACTACCACATCAAATCTTAGCTCGATATTTGAAAAACTGACCAAGTTAGAACCATTTTTGTGTTGACTGGGTTTAAATTGACTGTAGTTGTTGGAGATATAGAAAGTTGAAATTGTGAGTATATATATATATATATAAATATAAATATAAATATATAAATTTTCACTTGTATCTCACTTAATTTTGAATGTTAGTGATCGGGGAGTCTTGCAGCCATGATCTACACAAGTGATTTATGCAAACACGCATGGTTTGTAAAACTGTTTTCTAGGCCATGCATATTATTCAGTTGCTCCCTTCCCCTCACATCCTACTCACCTCCATGTGCTCTGGACCCACTTTGACATCTACTCCTGATTTTATGATTTCATGTACAGGAGTACACCTTAGAAATGAAGACAAGCACAAACACAGGCAGTTACATGATTGCCCATCTTTTATTGCAGCTGGTGATGAAAAGTAACTTTGTTTGATTATTCAGGAATAAAAATAACTGAATCATCAGTGTGATTCAGATGTTGAGACCTGCTGTTGGAGTTGAGCTGAAACCTCCATGTTGCTGATGCCCATCTCAACCTTTCTGCTCCTATTAATACCTAACAACACACTCTCTTTCAGTATTTGAGTTCGTCTCTATTTTTTTTTACTAATATTGTTTCTTGTTACTACAGCAGTTACCACAAGCTGTAGTTATAACAATCAAAGGCCTACAAGTTCTTAAAGAAATGCATATCTCCTGTGCCTTTTTTGTCAGAACCTCGGGCAATGATGCGTTTGCCTGCGTCTATGAATGTGTGCAATTGTCTGTCTCTTTGCAAGATATTTCACAAACCAGTGGTTGGGTCTTAATGTAACTCCCCAAAAAATAATCATTAGATGTAAATCTATTGATAACTGATTAGCTTTTGGATTCAACCTAATCCAGATTAGGTCAGTTAAAAGACATTGGCAAACCCAACAATAGCTCCATCTCATTCCTTTTGCAGATACAATATTAAGCTAAGATTTGGTGTAGTGGTATTTGGGAGTCCTCCCCAACGCATAACTCAATAGTTAACAAATCATGTAAGATTTCTGTTTAAAACTTTGCAATTAACCAATGGAGTCAACATTGTCTGTCTGTTAGCAAAATGTGTCATGAATCACTGGCCAGAAATTAATGAAACTCTCAGAAATAAACATTGGATGGATATCTATAATTTACTACCCTCTGAAGATAACTCAATTCAAGATGCCTGCCACTGCTAATAAACCTTAGCAAACACAAAAATAGTATAACTCTATCAGCTATACAGATTTTCCAGCTAAAATACAAAATCTGCTGTGGTAGAATCTGAGGTTGATCCCCACCACAGCCTCCAATCTCTAACTGATTGGTTATTGACAAGATTTAATTGAAACTTCTATAAAACCATAAATTCTCAACACAGGCTGATGATCATATAAACTGGCATTAAAGTTACTGGGTGGATATGCATCCCTTCAAGGAATGCCTTTCATTTTTCTTCTGTGCACAGTTTTCAATCCACCCTTCTGCTGACCTTTGACTCACAAAGACATCCTGCTGTCAGTCACTTTTGTCATAGTCTCTACTACAGATCAGTTGTTGCCCTTAAGTGTCCTTCGTTGTCTTCTTTTTCCATCATAGCACCTAGATATTTGTTTTAAGCATAAGCATAAACAACTTTTTCCATATGAACTTGTTAAGCCATCTTTTCCTGCTCTTGAATGCACATTCCTCTGTCTTCCTGGTTCAACATCTGTCCAACACAGCAGCTTTTCTTAGATGAGCTGATGGGCAGGTGCTCTCTGCATAATGGGATGTACTTAGGAATGACAGAAAATGGCAGGAAGACAATCAGACATACAGATGCTGACAGAAAGAGAGGTTATGAAAAGTAGGAAAAACAAACGTTAGTGTAATAAATTCTGTTGTTTCCAGCCTAAACTGAGATTTCCACACTGCAGTAAGCTGTTTGTCCTGCAGCTCACTAACCAATCAGTAGTTACCACAAGCTGTAGTTAGAACAATCAAAGGCCTTTAATTTCTTAAAGAAATGCAAATACCCTGTGCCTTTCATGTCCGAGTTTTAAACAAAAATCACATTTTAATATATGAGCCCTGCCCCATCTAACAGATTTCTCCTTAAATAAATAAAAAACTAGCCTGTCCTTCAGGAATATTTGGGTCCTGGGTACACTCCAGCAATAAAGTTTGTTCAACCTGAGGGAATTTTTGAAGCTTCAAAGTTGAACTTTTCAGATAGAGGCCAACAGATCTTCTTTTCAGATCTTTCATGCTCTCACATACCAATATATATTCCGGTGTCTGTATTTCCACACAAATGTGTCTGAAATTATTTGTCTTAAGAAAGATTTTTGCTCCTCTCTGTCAGATCAGTGAGGATATTCTGCGTCTGTTAGATGCATCAGCGTTAGGAGATGGGGGAGTTTGAGGGATGGCTACACAAAGTCTCCAAAGATCACATGTTTTTGCCATTAGTGCTTCTCATTCTGTGCTGCTCTGGAAATGTTCCACCAAGTTTTTCCCTTCTTTCTTTTGACCAGACTCCAGTCTGGCAGCTACGTCTTTCAGATGAATCATATTTCGTTACGTTTGCAGGTCACTGTTGTTTCCTTTTTGCTGCTTATTGCTGCAAAAGTAACAATAAAAACATTTATTTCCACTTAGATGTTGGAATTCTTAGCCAATCTTCTGAAATAACAGCATTTTATTCCTGTTTTGATGATGAATGCTTTCTGCTGCTCTTAACTGTCATATTTCTTTGTGTACCCCCCCCCCCCCCACACACACACACACACACAAACACACACCCCACCACCACCACCACCTCCATCTGCCTTGCCAGGAGATGCCTTCCCTGAGGATTTCTCCATAATGGCCACGGTAAAACCCAAGAAGGGCAGCCAGTCCTTCCTGTTGTCTGTTTACAATGAGCAGGGCATCCAGCAGCTGGGACTGGAAGTGGGACGCTCCCCTGTCTTCCTGTACGAGGACCACACTGGCAAACCCAGCCCAGAGGACTACCCCCTCTTCAGAGGAGTGCACCTAGCTGATGGAAAGTAGGTGCATCAGTCTGTCCTGATTCTGGTTCAGAATGCTGTCCTTCTAATCTAGTGGTTCCCCAACCTTTCATGTCATGCACCTCTTTGAAAGAAAACAAACCGTCAGACATAATTACTGTGTCAAATAAATAAGTTTTTGTTATCACTAGATGATTATTTAGTGTTTTCATTTGATTTTTTTCTTAAATATTGAACAAGTTCCACCAGTCTCTGATTATTCAAAAATAAATTAATAGAAAATATGTGCAATTGTTTTTAAAACTATGACAAAACTCAATGTACACAGAAACCCAACAAATATAAATAACAGCTCATTAATGTAAATGATTGCAGTAAGAATCAAAAGTATGTGCAAGTGTTTGTAATTCCAACATCAAAATGTCTTCCTTCTCTTTGATCCAAAAGTATTTTTTGCCACATTTCCACTCATATGATTCATATTATTCTGAGTCATTAATAAAAAATTGGAACACCAATCGGCATATCAACCAGCCCATAGGCTGAATAATTCTTCCTCCAGGCTGAAAACTTTTCCTCTATGAGAGACAGATCACCCTACACTTATCATCAGTCTATCCAGAGCTGGAGTGGATCCACTCTCCATGCTCTGATGAAGTACGTCTTCTAAACAAGTCATAGTGGAAACAACATCAAAATGTTGATTCCTCTCACAATTTGTAAAGCCCCTAAAACAAACAAACAAAAATAGGAGTGATCATGCCCCCCAATAGGGGTCACGCCCCATAGTTTGAGTTTGATCAGAGTCCATCTTCAGTCACTGCTGAGAGTCGAGCTGTTTTAGAACAGCAGGGTTGCTCTCATCTGTATTTAGACTAGCGATTAGCTCATCTACCTGTTAGAATCAAACTATTTCTCCATACTGAGGTCATAACATGTAAGTTATTAACTCCTCAGAACCTTTCATCAGCATACCATTTCTAACAATCTAAACTATTATATCTAAAAAAGTTAAGTCTGGTCCTCTGGACATTCAAAAAACAGAAGAAAACAATTGTAGAAACGTTTCATCTTTCGGATGAAAGACGAAACGTTTCTACAATTTTTTTGTTTTGTTTTTTGAATGTCCAGAAGACCAGACTTAACTTTTTTTATATTTTTCTACCTGGATTATTGAGCATGCATCAGGATAATCTAAACTATTGTTTATTTATGCCTACTTTTGTTTCCTTTTTCTTTATATTTTACAGCCGCTCAGAGTTTAGTGTGTTCAGGAGCCAGAGTAGGATAAATCTGAATCTGATAAAACCCTGAGCTGATATCGTGTAGTTGTGATGCATGAAACCCAGTAACCTTGTGGATAAAGCTCTACTCATGTTCCAGGTGGCATCGAGTGGCCATTAGTGTGCATAAGCAGACCATCACCCTCATTTTGGACTGTAAAAAGAAGACCACTCAGAAGCTGCTTCGGGACCCACACTCCATCATTGATACCAAAGGAATTATAGTGTTTGGAACCAGGATACTTGATGAAGAAGTCTTTGAGGTAGGCCTTGAACTGGATATCTTCTTTTGAGCTTTGTAAAAACGTTAAGGCTCATTTCAGACCTTCCACCCATCCATGTATGTTTCTGACCTGTGAGTTTGATAATAATTTGTCTATCGCCTGCTGCTGCCGTGTCAACAACTGATTGAACAGCATATATGTATGTATGTGTCTCATAGCAAATTACAGTATTTTATAAACCATTTACCAGATTTTAATGAATATCCTGGAAATTAACACTACATATTTATTTACAGCTGATGAGTGCTTGAAGTCATCGTTATTCAAGATGGTTGCTGCAGCTGATCAACATTAACTAACAAAATGATGGCTATACTTTACCTACAAGAGCTCTAAGATATTGATCTAAAATGTGGTATGGTAGTTGTTGAGACTTAGCTACAACACACACCTTATATGCTAACAAATCTTGAGAAACCTTGTATGATAGCACACATAATACCATTAACATTTGACCAAAACAGCTACAGCTCTCTCTTTTCATCGTAGAATGATTTTAGTTTTAAAATCTGTCAAAGTATACAGTGTGTTTTACTGTCAGTACAGATACATTTAAGTGAGTTGTGAGTGTTGGTCAACCCCAGTGCCCAGTTGTCCTTAAATGCTGCGTTAAAAATGGGACTGTGGTGGAGACCACATCCACCTCGGTTTGTGGAGCCCCGAGCATGCAACCCACAGACCTCTGCCACCCACTCATCCTCATAGTCACAAATCAAACATAATCCTAGGTGCCACTTGTTTCACACTGCCCACAAAGAAACTTCACATCCCATAATTCTGCTGTGCTTCCCAATGTGCTGTGTTTGCAGGCAGTGATGTTTGCACTAAGACTGTTGGAGGTTTTATGGCTAGAGTCTTTGTCTGAACTAGTTGCAGCATTTCTGCCATCAACAAAGAAATGTGTATGAACAAGTTTGTAATGATTACAATGAGCACTTTCTTCGCTCAGGAAATGTTATGTTTATTGTAATCTGGTGGACGGGAAACATTCTAGCCTGATGTGACTTAAATACTGTTTATTTAGATACTAACTTTCTTGAAGGAATGCATATCACCCTTTTGTACCAGAGTTAAGGGATAGCTGTTTTGGTCAAATAATACCATACCCAATCTCTCAAGATATTGTGTAATATTGTCAAATGTGTTGGTGCTCAGAGTAAGTGTTGAGGATGACTCTCAGTTACTATCAGATCAAAATTAAGCTTGATATCTGTAAAAATTACTGTTACAGCCATTTTTGTTTAATTAATGTAGAATCACTAGGGCAGCCAAAATGGGCTGGATTGACTCCATCCATCCATCCATCATCCATCCATCCATCCATCATCCATCCATCCATCCATCCATCCATCCATCCATCCATCCATCCATCCATCCATCCATCCATCCATCCATCCATCCATCCATCCATCCATCCATCCATCCATC